AGCTATTCACCGTACACCTGTGACCTTAATCCCACGTCAACCCTGAGTTTTTAATTGTTCTTTTCTTTTGGCAGCTCTGTGCATGTGCAGGCTGAGAAGAGGCTCCAGCTGTTCTTCTGCCCCACTGATCTCCGACTCCCAAGGCAGCTGATGACTGCCAGCCTACCCTGTCCCCATCTCTGCCTGTGATGCAGAGCCCTTATCTGAGCCTTCCTCAGCCTCCAGGAATGGCCCAGGTTCCTCCCAAAACATCCTCATTGTCCGACTCTACACCCACATCTTTTGAAGGCAAGCTCTTCTACTCATTACTTGTCCTCACTGTTAGGAAGTTTCTCCTTAATCACACATATAAAATTAACGTTACTTTATAATTATATATATATATATTTATTTTATAATTGAACTTAAAATTCTACATTTCATTCAGTTTGATTATCTGAATATTAAGCCAGCGCTGTCCGAAAGGAATTTCTGCAGTCACCTGGCTAGCATGACCTTGCAGAACGCTGTTCCCTTCCAACCAAAGTGATATCTATTTATCTACTTCCATTTCCAGTGCTTTCAGACTGTTAGATTGTCAGGAGCCGAGCTCAGGATGGGAGCTCATGCCGTCACGTTGTGTTTGGGTCTCAAATCTTTCCAGCTGACAAGCCTAGTATCTTAACCACTGAGCCACCATGCCGACGAGATAATTGTCCTATGAAATTCATGCCTTTCATCCTCCTGCCAGGCAGAAAGATTGATCGGTATGGTAAACGTGGACCTGAAACAGGCCTCATCTGGAATGCCACCGGTCGGTCCAAAGAGGTGAGAACAACACGGAGGAGACAGGAGTGCAGCTAAGTCAGCTTTTTGAGGGGGGGCCTTGAGAACCTGGCCTGCAAGGGCACAGCCTGCATATAATTTGGGAATAAGTGCTGGGTTTTCTTCTGGCAAGCCTAAGAGATGTTTAAAGGGGGTTTATGAAATTGGGCTTTGTCTGTCTGTTCAGCTTGTCCATTGTGACTTCCCACTTTTTTTCAAAAAAGAGTGTTAAGTAAGAAGAAGGGTGCTAGGTGGAGAATGAGCTGCAGGTAGCACTTCAAGGCAAATCGCCTGCTTGGGTTCTCTGGGATGCTGTCTGCGGTCTGAAAAGGAACAGGAGGAATCTTAGGATCTCAAACACCTAAAGAGGCGAGAGGATTTTATTGGTAGCTTGTCCAAAAATGGAAGCCTTGTTCAGAGAAGCCAAGAGGAGAGATTCCAATCTTTCTTGATCTTAATAATGAATAATCTCCTCCTCCTCCTCCTTCTTCTCCTCCTCCTCCTCTTCCTTCTCCTTCTCCTCCTCCTTCTCCTCCTCCTCCTCCTCCTCCTCCTCCTCCTCCTCCTTCTTCTTCTTCTACTTCTTCTTCTTCTATTTTCTCTTCCAGGGACCCCACTAAGAGCTCTTGCCAAACTGGATCATTGCCAAATGCCAACCAAGCTACCAGTTCTCTGGCTCTCAACCCTGAAGTGTTTTCCAATCCAAGAGCTTAAATGAAGATTCTAAAGAAAACAACAACCCGGATGTCGATTCTCGCTCAACAGGATCCTGAACCTCTCTTGGCGGACGGGGAAGATGCTAAACAAAGGAAAGTTCTATGCACCATTGGTAGCCCTGATTGTGATTGTGGTTGTATGGGAGCCACGTTGCACCTCTGAGCAAGAGGGAGAGGGGAAGCCCAAAAGGCAGGTCTGCTCTTTGTGCTTTGGATACAAATCACATCCCACAGAACAGATAAACACAGTGTCGGAAGGGACCTTGGAGGTCATCTAATCCAATCCCCAACTCAAGCAGGGAGATACCATTCCAGATAGTCCAAGAAAGAGGAGAGAAAGAGTGATGAGAGAAAGAGAGGGAGAGAAAGAGAGGGAGAAAAAGAGAGAGGAGATAAAGAGAAAGGGGAGGGAAACAGTGATGAGACAAAGAGAGGGAGAGAAAGAGAGAGGAGATAAAGAGAAAGAGGAGAGAAAGTGATTTGTGAAAGAGAGGGAGAGAGAGAGGAGAAAGAGTAGATAAAGACTGATGAGAGAAAGAGAGTGAGAGAGATAAAGAGAGAACGGAGAGAAAGGAGACAAAGGGGAGAAAGAGTGATGAGAAAAAGACAGACAGAGAGAGAGAGAGAGGAGATAAAGAGTGATGAGAGAAATGGAGAGAGAGAGGACATGGAAAACAGATGCTCCTTCACTCAACCGACATCTCCCTCTTATAAGATGAGAGATCCGTGTTGTACAAACTCTACCCGTTTCATAGTATCACAGAACCACAAAGTTGGAAGGGGACTTGGAGAGAACCAGTCCAACCCCCGCAATTCATCCATTCCCAGTCGACTACTCAGGTAGACCTTGACTTACAACGACCATCGGGGATCAGAATTTCCATCGCCAAGCAAACGAATATCCGAAATGACTGGTGTCCGATTTTACAGGCTTGTTTTTGGGCTAGTTAGTGCAATTGTGAAAATGGAACCATAAAGACCTTCCGTGAACCCAGCTTCTCCTGTTGACCTCTCTGGTCGGAAGCCGGGTGGAAATGGGGCAAAAGGGAATCGGCGGGCTGGTGCGCACACACCGGCCTAGGAGACAGATGGCCCGATCTTCCATAAAGAGGGAAGATTCACCCAGAGCAGACAGCTGA